TTTTTTTATTATTCTTTACGACAGGTTTATTTTCTGGCGAGCGAGGATTTAATATCCAGAAAATGAAGTAAGCCTGCAGCTCTTTCTCTCTTTATCTCGTTACGCTTGGACGTAAAAAGAAGTCTCGAAATGAGAAATCCTAGGCCTAAAGCGTGTATTTGTGTGTTTATCGGTGCATGCCGAGGGAGATCCGTGGCCTTAATCGAGACGGACGCGTCGCAGGAGCTGTCAATTACCAAACACGTGCCACTGCGATTCGCCGATTCGTATGACAGCGCTGTGCGCGCGGGCAAGATCAATCGATTGGAATGCCACGGGTAATTAACAAAAAAATCCAAACTGACGGCAATGTGCTTGGCTCAATTCCGCTAACGGTAGGCGCGAGTCCCGATTGATAAGCTCCACCAACGATGCCGGCAAACGTGCGCGTCGAAGAACGCTTTTATAGCGATTGAGCATGGCTTATTGACATTTATCAAGCAATGATCCTTTCTGTTGTTCTTCGGTATCACTGATATACACGCCATACGGCTGGCTAAATAGTTCATCGATCGCATTACATCCAGACGAGCGAACCATTAATTTTTCACTCATCTGACTTCTCTCGGTCGATTACCTTTCTCTCACTCTCTCTCTCTCTCTCTCTCTCTCTCTCTCTCTCTCTCTCTCTTCTTCCCTCCCTCGTTCTTCTGAAATATACGTTTGAAAAAGAAAAATCAATCGCTGAAAAAGTGATCACTTATTTACCGACCTCGTTCTCTTTTGATCATGCGAAAAAAAAGCTGCGCGCTTCCGCGCTCGTTGTCGTTGAATGTTTTAAGCTTCGTCTATTTTTGGGCCGCTTGAACTTTTGCCCCGGAATCGAATTATTCCGCGATGGGATATTGGATTTGACCAGGGCCGTGGCTTGCTCGTTGTTCACTCTGGTCGATCGCTTGAAAGTTCATCTCGCCGGTCCTTTGGGGGCTAGGCCATTTTTTTTGCCCGCTGGCTTTGCTCTGTTCTCTTCCGCTGCCTCATTTTTTGGAGTCCGTTTGCTGACGCGTAGATTCCTTTTTCTCTCCTTGCTCGTATGGTGAGTAGCCTCCACTCAGGCTCTCCGCTGTCTCTTTGTGGCCCTGGCAATTGAATTAGAAGCTGGACAATTTTTCTTTGTGCACGCGAGACTGCGGACGAGCAATGGTTTTGCACGGCAATTAATGTTTGATGGAGTTAGGCAAAAATGTCGTTATTAAGTGGAACTCGCTTTGAGCGTCGACTTCAATTTTCAAGAATCAACTTGAAAAAATAATAGCGCTACCGACGAAAGTTCGATGTTTGTTAGTCGAGTGAAAAAGAAGATTTTTATTCTAAATGAAAGCTGTCAGCAGTGGCGTTTTATTTTGCAAGTTGCCAGCGACAAACTAAATAAGCTTGTTTTTTGTTAGCCCCTCCCAGCTGAAAAGTATTGAAACTTGCTACTTGCTTAAGTAAAAAAAATATATAAGTATGTCAAGAAGCGAAAGAGCTCGGGAAAGTAGCCGGGACGAGGCCTTTGACGAAGATAGCTGCCGCATGTTCGATAACCAAACGGCATTCCAAATGTGTACGCACCTACTAATAACGACGCGTTAAAATTTCAAAGCGAAAGACCCTCTTTGCGAGCAAAGTTATAGCGAGAGGCAGGTTTGAACTTTGGCCGCTGTACGCTGGCTGCGATCTAATGATCATCTCTGGGGAAGATTAAAACTTGGCGCTAAACTCTTCGACCAGACCTTCTATCTGCCTCCCTTCTTCGCCGATGACTTTTTTCTCTCTTTCTACGTGGGATAAAAGGTGAAGTTTCAGCTTGTTAAAAGTGCTCCTTAAAGACCTTTCCACAATGTAACTGGCAGTTTGGTCCCTCCGTTAACGCCAAGACCCCTTCTAACTTTCTTTTTGACTATTTGTCTTTTTTTCCCCTGCCTTCTCTTTCTCTCTCTCTCTCTCTCTCTCTCTCTCTCTCTCTCTCTCTCTCTCTCGCTCTCTCACTCTCTCTTGCTGTTCAACTTGTTTATTCATCTCTTCTTTTCTAGCTCGTTACGCGTATCCCTTTGAATTGCGCGCTCTCACCTAGTTGATCTTACGTCTGGCTGGCTATTTGTTTTTTCGCGGAGATTGCATAATTACTGGGCTATCGGAAGAAACAACTTTTTAAAAGGCGTTTTGTGCTCGTTATTCTTTTAGAAATTTCTCCTCTTCGTTAACTTTTATTAAGGGCGTCATTAATAACCTATAAGAAATCCTTTTTTTCATTTCGAGGGAGAATATTTCAATTTTTTTTCTTTTTCAAATGCGTAATTTTTATTTGTTTCTACGTTGAATGAATTTTAGCTTGCTTCGCGAACGACTATTTAGTTATCTATTTTTCAATGCGTGCGGATTCAAAATCACTTTTCATAGAGAAAACACGTTCTAATGGCGTGTTTTGATTTCCTCCAGCTAAGCTAATGATAAAAATCCAGCTGCGCGCATTTCTTGAATGGTCGTTAATTCGCGCAGCTTTTATATGTAATTGCAGTTAGTTTGGCCAGAAAATGTTTTTTTCATCAAGTTGGCGAGAAAAATTAAAGCACAAGATAATCTCCTTATTATTTGAATAAGCAAATTAAATGCAAACAATGGCAATATAAAATACTTACAGTTAATTATTGTCTGTATTTTTATCGAACAATCCCAAGAGCTCACGGTCAATTTCTATATTCGATGTAATATTTTTCGAATTAATAAATAAAGGAATGTTGTTTCGCAAATGCCCCTCTATTCAAAACTGCTTGAACGTAATTGGCGCCCATAAATATCTTTGCAAAAAAAAATCTCTTAGTAAGAGAGAGAGAAAGAAGAATCGGAGCAAACCTAACGTGAATTTCCGGCGGGGGGGGGGAGGAAAAGGCTGGGCGCGTCGTTGACGACAACAGCCCGATAGGCCGATAATTCTTTCGTCGTATACGATGGTATATATGTAGGGGAAAGGTAGAGGCGGACCGTTTGCCAAGCTTTCGACTCGTCTTTTTATTTCAAATATTTCTCTACCTCTCGCATTGTTATCTGCTGGCAGGTGCAGAGACTCTCTTCGGGCGTTAGTTTCCTCTGTCTCCCTTTTTCTCTCTGCACGCCTCATCGACGCTCACAAAAGAGAGAAGGACAGAGCAGGATCAGAAAACTCTCGAGGAAGACTGAATTTATAGGGGCTATTAGAATAACAAGAATTGGAAATAAAAGCTTGAGCGCGCGGGAGAGAGGGGGCGGGGGGTGGGGGGATTTTTATTGATTTATCGGTCTTGTTTATAAGAAACGCGCGAAAAAGGGACGGGGAGGAGATATTGGAACGCGCATTTGACGCTGATTGAAATTATTATTGTGCTAATGGCGAAATCAACGTTTGTCCTCGTAGTACCGTATCCGTTTTCCCCAAGTCATTTTACTCGGCTCGCGCATTCGTACTTCTCGCGCGATATGTCCAATTGTTTCGTTGGCCCGATGAAGCTTATCGCTCGCGCACAGAGTGTCCGGAAAGGCCATTACAATCATGGCACACAGCGTCAAATAGGCCACTAAAGTGTTTACCTTGACTGGCTGCCCTACCCCGGCGCTCGGCTGAGCGCCGAGCGAGTATTCTTACCTCATTTCAAACCGCAAACTTTATACTATTTCCCGCGGACTGCAGTTACCCGCGAGGTATTAAACGCAAACGCGCAGCTGAATTTTGCAAGTGTAGCTCGTAAAAAAAAAGTCACTCGCGGAAGTGCCGTTTTACGCGCTCATGCGCGCCCGCGAGCGGCCGACGTTTACTACCATGCGTACGTGCTGGATTAATAGCTGCCTACTATGTTTTTCTTTTTTTTTTTTCATGAGGTGGTATTTCATTCTCTCTCGTCCCCCTCCCCCTCTCCTTTTAACGATTGCACGCGTGTACGTAGTCTGATAAGGTTTTCAGTCAATTTTGACATTATACAGACGAGAAGAATGAAAGAATAACTCGTGATGCTTTTAACGTTGAAAAAGATGGAGCACGTCGTTCCCGTAGTGCTACTTAAAAAGCAGAAGCTCGCGCAATTTTGCGGTCGAGAAAAGATGCGCAAAGCAACGCCTTCTCCTCATTTCCAAAAGGGACAGTATTACTTTACCTCGCGTAATATCTTGCAGCGCTTATTGCCCCACTCAACGAGTCGTTTTTTCGAAAATGTCTGCTATACTCCTTACGGAGGCCTCTCTCTTCTCGCGTTATGAGTTTGTTGCAGTTTCCCTGGCGGATATGCTTTTTTGGCCCTAGCGCTCGCTCTTTTCGGGGGGCTTGATGAAGTTTCTTTGTTTCGATGTTCTTTGTGTGTTCGCTTGTCTGGCTTTCAATCAAACAACTCGTCTTTTGTATTTTTGGATCGCCACAGTAACTGTCAATGCTGATTCGTTTATAAAACATCTCGCTCGGTGTGACATTCGATGAAATGGACTTAACTACTTGTTCGAAAACATAACCACAGCATAATGAGGAATATTCAGCACTTTTGATTCATAATCAAATGACGTTTAACTCGTCGTACGTCCGTCACCCAATCCCTCATTAAGAACTTATCAAACTATAGAAAATTATTTAGGCAACAATTTCGTGCGGCAATGGAAAAAAGAGTCAAGCCACACAGATTCCCAGCTAACGCTGTTAGGAATTTGTTCGAGCGAAGTCTCCGCGTGTGCGCGAACAATGTAAATTAATTTTGCGCTCTACGCGTACTCAATCATCGCAAGTTAAATGCGTTCGTAAAAGCGTGAATTTTCGTTAACACCACGAGCGCCCGATAAACTCGAAAACTTACCACTGTAAAATTCAAGGGCTAATCTCATGGAGCGAAAAAAAAAACAGATAAAAAGTCTCGCGCGCGCACGCGGCATACACTCGAAACTTTGAGATATGGTTTTTATCGCTCATCGCGATCGCAGATACCGTTTTTGTGTGTACGTGCGGATATCTCGCTTCTTTGCCCCGCATGTCGACGAGCAGATGGAAAAAGTTTGATACAGAGCTCATTCGCTTTGACAAGCATGACGTCTTTGAAAAAGAGAAAGAAAAATTGGATTCACCAGCAGGATATATCGGCAGATTAAACAAACGCGAGAACGATGATGAAAAAAGAGCAAGGAACGAGGAATTCAGCCGTGAGACAGACAGCAAATATGGAAGTCGGTGGGGTAAATGCTCGCGTGGCTTGCTATGCGTGGGCGTAATGGGTAACCCGCAGCGATAATAAGCAGTGGTATTAGGATTATTAAGGATCTCCCTCCTTCTCAAACGTCGGTGCTCGTATTTCTCTGCGAGACAGCTTACCAACCGCGTACACACGCGTCCCGCGATTCGAGCGAGTTATTCGACCGAGCTACACGAGCTCTGCTGATTATGTCTGCGAAATTCACGTCTTCCGTCCGATTATTTTACTACATTGCTCAGTTTTTACGAATGGATACAAAAACTTTATAAGTTTTGAATTAGATGCGATTATTAAAGAATTTCTAGGTGAGTATATCACGCCAAGCTTCAGAAATTCGATCGGCAGTATCGACCAATCAATTTTCTTTTCATCTCCCACGGACCCAATATCTATAAAAATGTGGTATCATAAAAAAAATCCTGTTTTTCCTCGCTCTTCCTCGGCATTGCATGTAAGCGTTTGCAAGATATATACAGTACTGTCCATACAATCTTCATTTGCAGTCTGAAAACTGTAGTGTGGAAAAAAATCGTTTTACGAATTTTCAGACCTGGAGAGAGACGAAGGATTAGATATAATCAATGTCCCTTTACCGTAGTGGTATTTATTATCGAGTGTATTACGCTGCGGTTTTCGCCGCATTCAACTTTACGCAGGCAGATCGTAAAGCCGTATTGGCGTGGCTGATAAAATACGAGTCGCAATGTAGAAAAGTCTGCTCGAAACTCTCTCGCCACTCCTTGTTTTATCGTAAACGAGGCGTGTTACGAGAATTTTTTTTACTGCATTTAGTTTTCGATAAAGGATGAAATTTCCGCTCGATATTATTGTACGACGTTTTCCGTCTGCATCTTCATTACGAAGTCAATAAAAATCGATGTTGCTGCTGCTGTTGCAGTACTGTTTCGGGGCCACTGACTCTCATGTAAATTTGCTCGTCGCTTTGCAATTTCAACGAGCAATATTGGCAGTGTTGTTTTTAATTTCAAATGAAATGCGCGACTCTTTATTAAAATTCCAATTATGCGCGGCGAGAAGCCTTTGATTATTCTTCATTTGGAATAAAAGGGAAAAATAGATGCTCGTCAATTGTGCATAAAACTTGGGTTGCCATCGATAATAACAAGTCTCGTTGATTTTTGGTGAATAATTCATGAAGAAAAGAAGAAAAAACAACAGGCAAAGTCGAATAAAAACAAAGATTACTTGGCGAGGAAGAAGAAGGAAAAGTGGTGTATAGAAGCTCATTGAAAAAGCAGAGCTGAGGATATTTACGAGCGCGAACGAGGGTAAACAGAAATAATCCGCTCGGCCAAAATCATATTCAATGGCCCCGTTATTCATCCCAATGGCCCATAAAGCCGACTCGCCGCCACGGAATTCCATTGGACGTACTGGCGTAATTGGCTGCGCGGCGACGGATAATCTTGTGGTCTGACCCCTTTTTCTCTCTCTCTCTCTCTCTCTCTCTCTCTCTCTCTCTCCTCGCACCGACACTGTGTCTTTCCCTGGACGAGAATAGCATGTGGATCGTACGTTACGTTCCGATTGAGCTTTTTACGCGCCTTTCTGTTTGTGTGTACCGCTTCGGAGAACGTAGTGCCAATAAAATGATAATAACGACAACATTCGAAATACAGGCAGTGAAAAAAACTTGATTTTCAATAAAGCTCATCCGGCATGTTCAATAATTGCGAATGAACCAAAAGCCTTTAACCTTATTACATGCGATGGAGCGGAAAAATGAATCTTCACTTTTCCAAGTAGTAATCCCGGATTGAACTTCCCTTTTAATAACGCGATATTGGCTCGCATTAATGAGTTTATGAAAAAATATTCCCTCGGGCAGCAAATAATTAGGCTTCATTAGTGAAAGGAAAAAGTCAAATAAAGATTATATACAGTTATCCAAGCAGTTAGTTTGAATATTTAAAAGATGCCCTAATTAAATCTCGGCAAATGTCGTGAATGAATAACGACGTATAAAGCAGAGAGTAAGAATAACGCAAGTGGAACAATCAATATACAGTCAGCCACTCAAGCTGTTTATCATTTCATTCAATTTTACGGCACACAAATGTTCACATTCAGCAAAATAGAAGGAAAAGTGCGAAACAATAAAAGTCCACATAAGCTTGATTCACAGTAGAACAATCCGAGTACAGTCGAGCATAAGCCAAAATCCGTCGTGCAATGATATGAAAATGTGTTATCGTTGAAAAATTTTTCTGAGAAGCAAAAAATATGACAGCGTGGAGCGACTGGTGCGTAGCCAATTCATGAGCCAGGCTCTCATTAATAATTCATGGACACAAATGTATGACGAGAGCGAAAAAGCCAACGCACACACGTACGAGTTGTCGCGTAGAACCGGAGAAACAAAGAGAGTAGTTGATGTTTATTTGGATTCTCTTTGGACATTCTCCCTTCCGGAATCAAACGCCAAACTGAAGGAATTGACAATGACGGCTTCTCCAATGGGATTGATTGTCAGAGAACTTTCTCTCTTACTTCTTTTTACTGGTAGCAATAAAAGTTTTTTTCCCTTGCGGTCTGATATCTCGCACACTGTAGAATTTATTTTCTGATCAGGAAAAATGTCCAATTCTTGTATAGTAATATTTTGCATTTGATATTATTTTTTTGTTAGCCTCTAAAGCGCATATCGAGAGATTTATATTACAGATTTTTTTAAAATCGATGTAAAAATGTTTTGTAACAATACATACATTTATCCTCAAAAGTTAGAAAAATAACTTGTTTTTATGCGGCAAACAATTCGGTACAGCGATGTATTTTTTGCGCAAAAGCGCATGAGAAAAGTTTTATGTAAACAAGACGGATAAAATAGATAGGGGAGAGTTTTTTTTACAAAGTAATCTCGTATTTCGGTATGTTTGCAATGTTATTGCCTTGCGTGGGAAATTTCGAAGCTTTCAATTTCTCGAAACACTGAGTTTATTCCAAATTTCTAGATTCTGAAATTCTAATTCAATTCGCTTCAGCCATGTATACGATGACGTATAAACCATTTAGGAAGTGGAATATTTTTCCAACGAGTAAAGTTCCTTTGCTCACTGTCGGGTTTTTAGATCGGATGAAACTCAAAAAGTCGAGTGATGGAGCTCTGGCGGCGCGCGGCATATAATCCGGAAAAATTGGAAACACAGTCACGTCAAAAATCCAGTAGGAAGCACAACGCAGACGATAAGAGATAAAAGAAAGAAAAAAAATAGATGAACGAAGCGTGAAAAAGTCCTTATCCCGCTTGGGTTATTTTCCTTTCTTTTTTTATTTTCGAAGGAACAAGCAGCGTCGAGCTGTCAGGGCTCGTCGCGAGGCACTTATCGCTCTGGCAAAAATAGAAATTGAAGTCGCAACGCTGGATTTTATTCGGTACTGCTGCGCTCTATTTACAAAGCCCTGACATTATGTTTATTTTGCGCGTTAGCACTTTTTTGCTTCGTGCCTGTAGCCACGTATATGTACTCTGACATCGAATGGGAGAAAGGAAAAACGTGGTGGCAAATGGTGCGGCGGCATGAGCGCAAATTTTCCTTTCGCAGAGAGATGAGAATGTCTTACTCGTTTTTCTCCCTATTGGCACGATAAAACTCTGATGCAGCACATTTTCCTTTTTGTTTGGAGTAATAATGGTCTTACCCGCGTCGAATTTTTCAGACCGATTTTGCCGTTCTCACGCGAAATCTTATCGGAAATGCAGCGCGTATATATTCCTCTTTATTAGTTTGCAACAAAATCAATAAATTCAATATTTCACGTATGATAAAGATTGTTTACACAAAAGCTTGCAGTTCAGGAAAAAAATATCTCCGTCTTCTAGACACCCGTATGAAACGATCCATGGGAAAAAAGCGGTCGTCTGGAAATTCGCGAGAAAGAAAAGAAAAACGTCCATGGGCAAGAGCAAGACGCAAAAGCTTGTGTTGCGAAGAGAAAAGAGAACATCGGTACAGACAAAACATCGTGGGCTTTTCCTTGAGAAAGTGCTCCAGCGTAAGTGATTATGTCCGGGGCCGCGGTGATTTTCGGTCATCTATCACGCTCTCAGATCGCGGGGTAAACATACACGGGGAAAGAGAGACAGCTTGAGAAAGAGCGAGAGAGAGCGGTAAAATTTCCACCGCAAGGCATTAACGAAGACGAATGGCTGCTGGAGCCGGATCCTTTTAATTGTTTCTAAGAGCTTTTATAGCGATCCACTGAAATTAGACTTTACGAGTTACGTGGACATTTCGTTGAGGATTGTGTATGCAATTTTTTCCAATTTGACAAATGTTACAACGAATACATTTCGTAAAAAGTGTCTTTTCCGTCTCAAGTTCATTTGAGAATGATCAGTCATTTTCGAGAAACTACAAGGCGCCTCGAGTTGAGTTCGAGTTGTTGTCCGCTGGAGGCGGAAATCGACAAGAAGGTGGCCCCTAAGGCACGTCTTCGTTGATGCTCACTTTGTCACAGCTATACAGCTAAGTAACTTTCTTCGGGAATGCTACGATCTACGTGCATCCTACATAAACTGTCATGTAAAAGCAAAGTTACATTTGTCCAGTAGCAACAATTAAGTATATGATTACTAAAGTCACCACGTTAAAATGCAGACAAAATTTGCAAGAAAGCTTTATGTGCCGATCCTCTCGAAAGCATGCAGATAAATATTTTTAAAAGCTTTTCTAGATCGTAAATAAGCCCAATACCACCCTGATGGCTTTTGTCGGTCAAGTATACTTAGTATGGGATTGTACGAAAATTAATAATGCATTATGAATGAACATTACAGCAATGCTCTGTTTTGTTTCAATTTTGAATTTCCGTGCGTCACCAAGAACAAATTTTTTTATTGTCAAACTAAAACTTATAAGCTTAAAGTATTACAAATGTGAAAAAAATTCATAGCTCAACTTATTTATATAAATGTGGACTTGTCAGCTCATATCAGGTAGTTAGCTACGAGTGCGATAA